GGCAGTGCTTTGTTACGATAGATCTGCGTTCCTTTATTCAATCGCTGGGTTCTTTGTTCATGCCACCACAGGGCTTTCAAACGACAAGAGCCCCGCATTACTAAGTAGGGGGTGGGCAGGCTTGTTTGCTGAAGCTGTAACCATCTGTCAAGCCATCTTGGTCCTGCATGATTCATTTGAACATGACTGATGAACACAATATTGATCATTCACCCTTAAACTGTAGGTTACAACTTCCTGCTTCAAGTTCTTTTACATGAAAAATGACGACACATTTACATGAAAACTACAGTAATTGGTGATATTCAAGTCAGATTACAGTGTGAACACAGTGTCAAAGTCAAATAACAAAAATAATAGGCAACATTTTATGAAAAAAAAAAGTGACAATGTTATTATTTTTTATGTTTTGAGAATAAAGTTATAATGTTGCAGGAATAAAAATGTACAATTAGGAGATTAAACCATTTTTTATTAATGATTAATATATCACAATAGCGAATGAATCTGCTTTAATGTGAGATGGATTTAGTCAAATCCTAATTTAGGATAGTATGATCCACTTCAATTTGAGAAGTCATCATAAAGACTCTGGTTTTAAAATGACTCGAACTCATTGACCGCTCTTGGCTAAGCAACAGGCGATAAAGAATAAATGAATGACTAGGCTAAAGTGTTCGGATCTAGATTTATCGCCATCAGCCATATGCTGAACAGCGGGTGTCAGAACTGAACTCTTAACCCTCACACACGCCAAACAGGAAGTTGACAATAGGTTACAGATGTCAGAGAGCAGGTGAGAGTTTTGCAGAAAACAACCGGTGAGGCCCAGCACGGATAAGAGATCCAGCGAATCAGCGAAGCCATCTATTAGATATGTGGAGGTCACGTCATCAGGTGGAAAAATAATAGCAGCAGTGACATGTGCAAAGGCTGTTTTTATTTTCTTCACAAAAATAAAAACTGAAATGCAACTATTTATACAAATGTTTATGTTTTTAATAATAGTTTTTATAGCATAATAATAGAGTATTAAATTACTCGCCTTCTTAACATTGTAATCCCATATTATTTATATTGTAATACACACACATACACACACACACACACACACACACACACACATATATACTGTATATATATATATATATATATATATATAGAACCCATATATCTTTGTTTAATATCAAGTTATAAGTGGTATATTAAATATGTAATTTCAATTTGAATATATATGCATATGTACTAATTTAGTTTACCCAATAAAAATATACACATGAGAAATAATAATAATAACCGTTTGTGGCATCAAGACTAGAGAGTGAGTAAATTATTATAAAAAAATAACGATTTATTATTAAATGTATTATTTATTATTAAAAACATAAAATAAACACTAGTCATTACTATTTAGTGCTTTATTTCATTTTTCTTTAATTAAAGCAGTTAAAAATGCTCTTCATGTCATGATCTAAGCAACTCCTGAAAAGGAGCAGTACATCCGAAACGCAGGGGAACCATGGCAACACAAGCTGTAGATTACCAAAACACTAATGCTATTGCCCAACTCCTGTCATTCAGCAATATAATGGAGAAAATAAAAGAATACCGTGTAGTCACAATGGCACTGTATATCTAGAGTGGCATCTCGGAAAGCACTGTCTGACATTGTGGTGTCATTTTGCAATTGATCGTTTGCTCTTCTTCATCAAATTTTAAATAAAGCTTTGATTTCTGAAAGTGTTACAGTATGTTATACTGAAATAAAGTTTTATCTTAAAACATCAAGGACAACTTAATTATTGTGATATGAACCCGTTTGAACAAAACATTGAAACTGTATAAGACCTGTGACATTTAAAAAGATGATTTATCATTTACAAAATTCTGAAATCAAACATATCACCTTAGAACAATCAAAGGCTCACTCATTTCATAATGCATGATCTGGAGACTCTCACTGCCAGATAGTTCCAACTTAATCAACAACCCTATAATTTACTTCAGGACACTGCAGAAACATTTCTGCTACGATCTACATTAACGTTTAATGAAGATTAAGTCAGTCTTGCTGAAATATGCCAATTTCTGCAAAAATACATAAATAATAGAAGGATAGGTTAGAAGTGTTAAATGCAAAGTATACCAAGTTAAATGACTGTATACAGAAAAAAAAAAAAAAAAAAAAACAACAGACAACCTTCAGTGAACAATAAATGTATAGGATACCAACAATGTCTGCAAAGCGATAATGGTGAAAGTTTCTCAAATTTAAGCCGATTTTATATGAAGCTACAATGAATATTAAATATAGCCTATAGATTTATAGATACAACATCATTAGTAAAGAAAGAAATATTTAATAAGTTAAAATAAAATATAATAATAATAATATATATATATATATATATATTCTATAATAATATAAAAATGTTTTATATATTTTTGGTTATCCAACCCATATACAGAAGTATGCGATTCCTGATGTTAAAGTCAGACCATGCTTTCGCATTTAACCCAACAGTAGGCTCTGTTTCACCACAGAAGGTTTCAGAATACAGACAGTCGTAAGGCTAACTTAATAATATCAACACAGATGAGTGTCATGGGACAGAGAGGATGGTGCCCTCATAAACATACACACTCATACACACACTAATTCAATCGAGCACTTTAGAGCTCAGCATTTCTCCATGATGATGTAACAGCTGGGATAGTGCCTACTGTGAGACTGGAGCGTTGAGATAGATTAGATAACTCTCCTTCTGCTATTAGCATGTCAAAGTAACAACTATTTACTTTAGGAAAGTTATGTGTAGTGAAGCTCCCAAGAGTTAAAACCTTGAAAAACTGTGAATGTGGATATTAAGATACTAATTTGTGCTGACCAATTTATAACATGAAACCAAAACTGACTCATAAACTTTCTTAAAGGCATAGCTCATTCAAAAAAAAATTACATTTGTAAAAATGTAAAAAAAAAAAAAAAAAAAAAAAATGGGGATACTATACACAACAATCTGATTGTGTAATTTTGAAAATCAAACTGTTATAACTGTAATAAATCTTCAAGTGAAATATATACTGTATATATATATATATATATATATATATAGATATATATATATAGATATAGATAAACAGAGGGTGAGATTTTTACCAACCTAAATTTCAGTTTTTTATTATAACATTGCTATTATATGGCTTAAAGGAGTAGTTCACATTTGAAAAAAACTTTTGCTGATAATTTACTCACCCCCATGTCATCCAAGATGTCCATGTCTTTCTTCAGTCAAAAAAAAAAAAAGGTTTTTGATGAAAAAAATCCAGCATTTTTCTCCGTATAATGGACTTGGGAACATTGGGAACCAAACGGTGCACGTTCATGACTCTCCTGTTCAAACTCGTTCATTAAAATGAACAAATATTTTTCCGAGTCAATTCGTTCGTTTTGTTTGTTGAATGAACGAAATGACTCTGAAAAAGATTCGTTCATCTGATGAACGAGTTCGAAAAGGAGAGTCACGAACGTGTGTCACAGTACATAGCAAGGCGAGCATTTGAGCTTATCAAACTTAAACTTTGTTATTTATTTATTAAATGAGCAATCATTTCACTTGATGAGACCCTTATTCATCGTCTGGAATCGTATAAAGCCCTTTGAACAGTTTGCAGTTTGCATTGAAACTGTCTTTTGGACCTTGAACCGTTTGGTTCCCACTGAAGTCCATTATATGGAGAAAAATCCTGGAATGTTTTCATCAAAAACCTTAATTTCTTTTCGACTGAAGAAAGAAAGACATGAACATCTTAGATGACATTGGGGTGAGTAAATTATCAGCAAAAGTTTTTCAAAAGTGAACTACTCCATTAAGTCATGGACTCTTTTCTTAGTTCTGCTATGCTGTTTTTTTTTTTTTTTTTGTGGTCCTTCTTTGAGCTTGACAGCCATGGTCACTAAGAACTGAAGCTGTGAATAAGTGAATGCCACTCGTTCTTAATGGATGACGGAGGCAGAAATCTGCAGTGTCTGAACAGAAGGCAAAGGGCCGTCTCGGTATGTGCAACACTATTCAACCCCCTGTTCAAATCCTAAATACTAGTCAAACTCAGAGTGTTCCCACAACCCCTCCTCCACAGACATGCCAGACAATGTGTTCCGAAACAAAACGAGTGTTTCTATCGCCGGTCAGCGGTATGGGGTTTAGACAGGAATGTAGATCACTCTGCATCCGAGCAGAGCAGCACTATACCTGAAGTGACCCAGTGAACATCGTTTTTATAGAGCAAGAGAATAAACTAAACCTCTCTGAGAAAGAAATTGAGAGCAAATGAGAGTGTGAGAGAAACAGAGGCTGTCTCTTTACTATGCTGTCTGTCTGTTAAATCTCTATAGCCAATAAAAAAAGAGCAGTTATTTGAGCCTCTCCTGTCTTTCTCACTTCAATATTAAAGGATCCATACATATGTTTGGACCAAAATAGTTCAGTACAGTCACGATGCGATAAGATTCAAGCGACACAACACCAGACACGCGAAACAACGAAATAAATCAAAAAGCACAGCCAATCAGAACAGCGGGAGAACACATTTTTAGAAAAATTAAAAAATGTATCATTGAAATGAGGCATTGATCACTGAAATGGGGCCTTTTTCAGAGAGAGAGAGAGAGAGAGAGAGAGAGAGAGAGATGGAAGAGACAAAAAGCTAAATAAAAAAATAAAAAGAGGTGGGGACATAATGAGGAAGATATGTCACCAGGAAGTTATGAACTAATTTGCCAAAGGGGATTTTGCAAGTAGCTCCCATGTTGATTCATTACTCATTTCAAATCGAGTGGCAGATGACAACACAAAAACCTTTTTAATAAATCTTCAATTTTTATATATTTTTTTTTCATTCTCACATATATTTCTTAGACATACACTTGAGTGCGTAAGTATGCTGCCAGCTTCTTGAGCGGGTTTATCTTGTGTGAGAACAGTGGGTGTGGTACGCACCAGCAGATGAGTCCGGCAGCGACAGCAGCCCAAGTGACACAGCAAGAGTTGGATTTCTTACTTTCTTCCTCCTCCTCATCCTTCCGACAGCAGCACAGGCAGCTCAGGTAGATGGCCAGACACAGCAGATTCACACCAAGCCCAGCTGCTGCGACACAGCCCAGGAAGATGAGCGACTGAAATAGAGAAAACAACAAACATGAGTCTTTGTTAAAAAAGAAATAGGAGTTTTTTGAAACTTTCATTCTTTTGAAATGAAAGAGTTTGATCTCATATTAAGACATTCATAACACAAAACTCCCTAATCATCAGTCCACATATGGAAAAATACAGAGTTGTTCAGAAAACTGCTATCTGAATTATCAGTACTTTAACTAGTCTAACTAGTATAACTTCACAGTAAGGTTAGAAGTAAAAAAATATGTGCTTGTTGATCTTTGAGGGGTTTAGCTGACTGAGGACATCCTCACAGTTTGATCCAAAGACGACACTTGTCAAGATTTTACTTTGGTTTTGGGAAGGGAAAAAACGGACACCCCCCTCCAACCTCTCTGGGAAACGCGTATCTGTGTTACAAATGCCCGGGGCACAACGTTTAACCATATTTTGGACAAAACTCAGACGGTAATAACCTGCCGAGACCAAAAATATGAGACGTCTGTGTTGAAAGTCAATGGAGCGCTGTGAAAAAGTGTCGGACCTGTGTGGGAGCTCGTTCTTGGCTGCGCTGTGATTGGTCAATCTACATTCTAGGGCGTGGCTTAGCCAAAGGTGAATTGACCAACCGTACATAAATACAAATGCATATTCAGTTTAAGTCAACATGAAATCCAAATTGATATCCTGATGCATGTTTGTTTTTTTTTGTTTTTTTGTCTAACTGTGTACAATTTATGCTTTTTTTTTTTTTTCACGATCCAATCAACGCCTAATGGACAAAAAATCGAACCCTGTCGAACATGGTTTCCTTATTCCTAATTATTTCTCTGTGAAATAAGTCAGATTACACAAGTAATATTGGTTATGAATGCGGTTGGGACTGGGAGTTAAACCAGTGTTTTGCCAGATGTTTTGCCAGCTTTTTACTTTAATTTTAATTCATTTTTTTTAATAGTATCATATATCTCTTAATTTCTTTTAGAACAGTTTTATTATTTTGTGATTATTTGAATTATTTTCTGTAAAGCACTTTGCAAACTTTTAGTCATAATGGTGTTGACTTGCATTCTTGAGTGCAAGAATTCAAAGAGTAAATGTTTAACGGGAGTGAGTTACTTGCGGTTTAAGGATTTTGAGCATCATGGCTCAAGGCTGCAAAGTATCGTAAATGTAGAACGCCTCGATGGACAAACTTAAAAACCTCGGAGCTGGTAATCAACAGTTCAAACTGGATGACCACGAACACAGTGTTTTAGGAATAACAGAGGGTAACAAATGAAAGAAACTGCATTTCAGGGAGAATGAGTAAACAACGAAAACAATGCTCTGTAACAATACAAAGAGAGTTGCAGAATATGGACCTTTAAAAGCATTAATAATAAATAGAATCCTAATACAATATTTACATACACTCCAAACATCTCAGATACAGGCATTACATTTTGCTATATTTAAAGTTCCCATGTGTACTACCCGTGACCTTGTCTGCTAATGCAAGTTTCTCATTAATGTGTAATGTCTAATGTTGAAAGAAGTCACGACCTCCTGAGATGTTTTCCAAACAAAGGCAACGCATTGCACTGATAACGCAGAGGTCTTTACTGGTTGCAACACACTGTCATATAACTTAAAGTTCCAGTTGATAAATCCAGAGCTATTTTAGTCCCACAGCCTTTAATAGGGGCACAAGGTAGCATGTCGCTCCGCCAATGCTTAGTACACACCATCGTTAAAGGAGCATGATCTCATTTTTTACACTGAAATTGGTCTTAACTTGGTTGAAAACATTCACCCAGACATGCAGGAATCTATAGATTTTAAGCAGTGACTGGGGATAAATATGACAACTGATGGGGCAGTACAAATATTCAACAAAAGGCACACTCATATACACACACACCATGTCGTATCCCATCCTCCTCTTGGCTCTGAAGGGGATGGAGAAAGTAGGACAGCTATAGCAAGCAGCCCCAGAGTCTATATTTGCTGCATCACCATCACCATCCCTGTTTCTTGCATTGTCTGTCTCTTTTGGTTACATTCAACACTGTCTCTTTCGTCCTCTGGGTGGTGGGACATCCTAAGCCATCTGCTTCACTCCCATCTATTAACACTAAGACTAATGGGTCAACCAACCTAGTCAGAAATCAGAGAATTGGGTTATACAATATAATTTCATTTGAGATTATATAAGGACTGTTAATATTATAACTAATGGTTCAACCAACAGTCTATCAATGGGCAACTTTATCCATCTTGAGTCTTGACCCATCCCACCCAGAACTCTATTAGCATTAGCCATTGAAAAACTCATAATGATCATAAAGGTGCATTCACCCCATGTCGAAATTTTCATAACTACAACATTGCGACTTGTAAAAAGAGTTTACATTTTCTTCTTCATAAAACTTTTAATTACAATTTGAAAACTTTGATTTGTCTGAGAGCCACGACTTGTGCCACCTGACTGCAGCCTGACCCGAAAAAAAAAAAATATATTTTTCTGTTTAATAATAACATTGACTATTTATAATGTTTTAATAATACAAGAATAATGTGAAAATAAACAAAAGACATACGTCTATTGATTACTCAAACTACACCAATTACTTGAGACGTTAAGAATGTAATAGTGTTGCCATCAAAACACGCATACCGCTAAATTAACAATTATGAATTAGAAAATGAGACCTAGAAAAATTTTAGAAATTAAACTAAAATTATTTTGTTCTATATTCACAATTTTTTTATTGATAAGTTGGCCAACATACACTACCATTCAAAAGTTTAAGGTCAGTGTGTTTTATTTACTGTATATAACATTATATAATTATGACAGTAAAGACTTTTAGGAAAAAAATCCTATTTCAAACAAAAGCGGTTTTTTTTTTCTTTTTTTCTGAAGGATCATGTGCCACTGAAGACTGAATAAAAGGAAGCTGAAAATTCAGCTTTGCTAGGAATTATTATATTTAAAAAAAAAGTTTTTTACATTATAACAATATCAAACAAATTATTTTTGATCAAATAAATGGAGCATAAGAGCGTAAAACAAACACATTTCGACTAGTACTGTAGTAGACCACTATTCATAAGCATCTTGTATCTATTAAATGTCAGATATTTAATCAAAATGCGTGATGAACCCCACAGTGTCTCATTTCAGCCACATTGTCTGAAAAAGATGAGTCTGTGTAAACCCCTCCTCCACCTTTGAGGATGGTGAATTCCCCATCAGGCCTTTGTGAAGGGTAAATAGGGGTTGATGAAGGTGCTGTGATGAGGAAATGGGGGGAGGATGAACACAGACTGCCACAGGGGGGTCTTATGGGAGGGGATGGGGCACATTTTAGGGAACGAGTGTGTGTTTTCATTTTCACTGAAGAGTGGGGATTTGAGTGTGTGTGTGCCGATGCGTGTGTGCGCATGTGTATCAGCAGTTGGTGTGGAAACAAGGGGAGAAAGACTGGCATTATGTTTACAGCTTTTGGGCAGAGACAGGGAAAAAAAAAAAAAACTACATAAATAAACATCACCATGGCAACTTCCAGGTCCTCTCTGCCCTTGTTAAGTCCTGGGACAAAGTGAAAAGAGGAATTATCATAGACTATTTTAATGAAGCAGCATGTGACTACATGACTGGAATTACCCAGACTAAATCCTGTGATCTTCGTGAATTAAGAGAAACTTGTTTTGTCTGACAGGGAAAAACCTAAGAGATTAATGATGGGTGGTAGAAGCAAAATCGTATATCATGGCAACATTTCAAAAACAATATGTTTAAATAGTTCAGATAAAGTATATTATATTTTAGATATTGATATATAATTAACCATAGAATCGTGCCACCAAAGACTGGAGTAATGACAGCTGAAAATTCACCGTTGCCATTTTATGAATACATTAATCTAGTATATTACAAATCCATTCAAACTCTAATAATATTTCACAAAAATACTGCTCTTTAATATTATATTTATATAATATATTATATTATATTATTATTTTTTTATATTTTTATATTAATGTATTTTTTTACTTTAGATCAAATAAATACAGCCCCGGTGAGCATAAGAGATACATGTATATAACAGTGAATTAAATACTGTTATTTGAAGCTCAATGGATGCAGACCCAAAAGATAATTAGATAATTAGTCATAACAAATGATTATGTCTGACATCGTGCAAAAATAGCTTCACATAAGGTAAGAATCAATACAATAAAAACAAATATTTTAAAAATGATTTACTGATACGTGACGTCCTGCTTTATATTTTCACATTAATGCCTGTTTAAATAAAGCAGTCCTGCCACTATTGCCAAGACAATATATCTAGCATAGAGCAGTAAGATACTGTAAGACATGTCTCCTTCCCGTTATATATATCCGTGACATACCTTTGATCTACAACACATAGTATATGCCCAACACAAGATACACAGGTAAAGAAATGGAGAACCGAAGCCCACAGAATTACACAGAGAGTGTAAACAAGAAGGATAAGAAGTGGAGAGAAAAATATTGCATGTGTTTGCGCAAGAGAGAGACAGACAGAGAAGGAAGATAAATCATGCAATAAAGGTTCAGAGCCATTATTATGAACACAATGAATCGCTACAGAATACATTTGGAAAATGCATAAACAACACCCTGTGTTGCAGCCTTATCTGGCCTTACCAATGTTTTCTGTGTCACAAACATACACACTAGCACAAAAGTGAGTGTGTAATTATAATAGTCAAACAAATACAATGTACTACGCACACACAAAGAGTGTGCATTAATGCCAGGCAGACATGAATAATGGAACACCTGCATTATCCTCTATGGAAATAGAGGCTAAGAGGAATTATTTACACACTCCCACACTTCTTCACCAAGTCATTTCCACCCTCCCTTGTCATTCAAGCACACAAACAGACGGGACACAACAAGACAGAGCTGGTTTTCAATTAGCCGCCCCTGATACTTACAAATGTCCAGAGGATTCCCCACACCTTTTCACTAATGAAT